CCGCGAGACGGTTTTTTGGTGATTTTATTAATTTTTCCGATCCATTTTTTGTTTCATCTCTATTTTCGCGGCTTTTGCGATACAAACTAAATTCATTTTTAGTTGTGATGGCATTACACTGCTTAATCATGACGGCTTTGGAAGAAACTGAATATATTGCGCTTCGCGATTTCGCAAAATTGCTGCGAGAATTAAAATATATTTTCTTCCAGAAAAGCGTTTTCACGCTTCTTTCTCCAGTCAATTATCTCGTTTTCTAAAGGTCCTTGAGAACTGAATAAGATAATATTTTATTACCTACAACCTAACCCAAACCTGATTTATTTTGACCACATCGAAACAAAACTGGAAGAAGAAAAGCCTTTTATTTTTGCCGGCTTCGGCCTGCCGACGCGATCGTGTCTGGTTTGCTTTCATATGATGACATTTTCCTGACAGAAGGGTGTCGGGAAAAACACCTCGCGCTGATCATACGTGACAAAATCCGCCGCGCCTAAGCTAATGAATAAAAGTCTCCTGGAAGGCTCCATACAATTCCTTATAACAAAATTATAAGGAATTGTATGGAGCCTTCCGGGATACTTACAGTGCAAGCCCTTTGTGTCTCCTCATGACTTCCGCCACTGTTAGCATTGCTGTACAATTTTAGTAAGTCAAAAGTCTTGAATGTTCACTTATACTTACCTTTACTGTTTGGTTTGATGTAAGTGCTTCAGGTGCACTGTAAATCATAGCTCCAGGAGCCACTGTCATGGTCTGCTGTATAAAACTAGCAGTGCCATAATCTGACACTTTGGCCCTCATTGGTCACCCTGTCGCCATAGCAACACATTAGCACTGCTCACATCACGGTGAATGATGGGGTCTGGTTTCTTCTGGTGAAGATAGTTCAGTGCGCGGGCTACATCCAAAGAAATGGTGCGTATTTCTGTTTCGGACAGTTGCCGCTGTTCTAACAGAGTCCGCAAACTTTTCTCCATCAACTCGGTCACAAACAGAGGACTTCCCTCGTCAACTGTGGCGCCGATAAACTGTAGTAAGTGAGGATGGCGACACTTGGATGCAATATTCATTTCTCTCTCAAAAAGACGTATGTTATGAGGGGAGAGGATCAACTCATAGATTTCTTTCACTGCTACAGTACAGCCACAATACGTTCCCTCATTGACACTTCCCCATCCTCCCCTCCCAAGGCATTTTTCTGTGATTTGAATTTCGTCGCGGGGAATAACCCAGTCACGTGCTCCCTGGTTACGCAATTGATTTATTGTTTGCTGAGCTGTTGAAAGACTTAACTGTAGTTCAGAAACTTGTTCTCGGGAATTGGTCAACTGTTGTCCTATCTCCCTCAGTTGCCGCTGCAACTCCCTCAGCTGCCTCTGAGAATTTTCTTCACGTTGTTGAAACTCCGTCAGCTGCCTCTGAGAATTTTCTTCACGCTGTTGAAACTCCGTCAGCTGCCTCTGAGAATTTTCTTCACGCTGTTGAAACTCCATCAGCTGCCTTTGAGAATTTTGTTCTCCTTCCCGTAACTCTCTCACCAGCCGCTGCATATTTTGTTCACGTTGACGAAACTCCGTTAGCTGGCTTTGAGAGGACTGATCCCGTTCTTGAACCACTCTGAGCTGCCGTTGTAAATTCTGTTCACGTTCCTGTATCTCCCGTAACTGCCTCTGGAAGTTTTCTTCACGTTGCTGAAAATCCCTCAACTGTCTTTCTAATTCTGAGGTTCGCCCTGGCGAGTTTGCTTCTCGTAGATCTTGCATTTTTTCTGAAAAGATAATTTATGATAAAAAACAAACAAGGCAATCAAAATCACCCAAGTAACATGAGCGAAATGATTAACTGTCAACTAAAAAAGAAAAATTACAAATTTTGACTTTATAGATAATTTTCAATGCATGAGCATAAACGAAATACTGATGAAGAGGATGAAATTCAGAATTCCTTTTCGCCCCATTTGTCACTTAATATTAATTGCTTGTTTGTAAAATCACACAAAATATTGAAGAGTATGTCCAAGAACATAGCCCCTTCTTTGAACGAGTTCTCATTTTTTCGCACACATGTATCTTAATTAAAGGTTATTTTTTACTCAGTGGGCATATGGATAGATCAGTCGATTTTATATAAAAACGTTGTTTCGACACGATGCAGTCCGAAATTAAAATTACTCTGACATTTTTCAGATATTTAAGGAAATACAAATTGAAAGCAGACGGATAGAACGTGTTAGACGATCCAAACTCATTCAAACGAACTTAACTGAGCCAGACGCCGAACCAATCCTGGACAAAAGTCCTTGGGACAGTACTGCAATATTCATATTTTTCTGTCATTTCTCGGTTCCCTTTTAAAACAGAACGTCCTTTTCGAAATTTTCTTGAAGTTCTCCCTCCCCGCACCCTATACAAAGTTGAAACTCGGAAAAAATTCTGGATACACGCGTCCAACATTTTTTGTGGGGTGAGGGGAGAGGTTGGACCTATGTGAATTGGAAAACGCTCCAGAAACGCAAAAGTGTCCCAAAACTTTTGTTCATGATTGTAGGCCTAAAGAAAACACACAAAAAAAACAATGTTGGACTGGTCATTATAGTCGGTTGGGGGGGGGGGGGGGGGGGGGGAAGGGGGGGAAGAGAGGAAGTTTAGGGGGAAAAAAGTAACCTAAAGGAAAAAAGAAAAAAAATGGGAAACAAAAGAAAAAAAAAAATCGAAATGAAAAAAATTTAAAATAAAAAACAACAACTTTCAAACAAGAA